AGAAGGGTCTAGTCAAAGTAAAGTGAGAAGCAGGGAAACTCCTGTTAAAATGTATTTTATTGTTTCGTCTCCAGAGCTGTTTTCTGAGTGCTGCCATGTTGTTGTTGTTGTTGTTGTTGTTGTTGTTGTTGTTGTTGTTGTTGTTGTTGTTGTTGTTGTTGTTGTTGTTGTGATTGCTCTGTGAGGTGGAACAGATTATCATCCCACTCATCCACTCTTGTCTCCCTCATCCCTCCATGCTTTCTGCTTAATTTGATTGGACAGCTTAACCAGGTAAGACCCGCCCTGTGTTTCCTGTCTTTCTGTCCTAGATGCGACTGTAGTTGGTGGAGCCTCTGTTAGCGCTCTGCTAGCTAACACTCACCCCCATTCAGGATATCTGCATTATGGAGGTTTTTCTCCCACATTTGATCACTGCTGCACTTCAGTTTAACACTTCTGTGATAGTCACTGCTGCCACCCTCTGGTTGAGAGGGGAACTGTTTTAAATGACGTTAAAGGAAAATTGTAAACATGCTGCATCTGGTTTATGATCTGGTTCATCACCAAAATGTAATGGATTGTTTAATGGACTGAGCAGCACCTTTAGTAAAAGTGTCCTTTACACAGAAGCACAGACATAGACTCCTTGGTGGAGGTAAAACAGTCTATCCTTTCTATAGATCCTAGCTCTATGTCAGATGATAATGCTGGGCCCTCTGCACCCCCACATTTAACCAGAACTGGACCAGTCAAAGCAGCTCTGCACAGCCTGCTGGTCAATCTTTTTCATGGTTACCATGGAAACCAACAGGGAGACAATGAAAAAAATACAGTGTTTCTTAAACATTTAAAGATCATGATAGTGATCTGGACCAGACCTGGACCGGACCTGTACCCGGACCTGGGGCTGGACCTGGACCGGACCTGGGACTGGACCTGGACCGGACCTGGGACTGGACCTGGACCGGACTTGGACCAGGTCTGGACCGGACCTGTGCCCGGACCTGGGACTGGACCTGGACCTGTGCCCGGACCTGTGACCGGACCTGGGACTGGACCTGGACCAGGTCTGGACCGGACTTGGACCAAGTCTGGACCAGACCTGGGATCAGACCTGGACCGGACCTGTGACCGGACCCGGGACTGGACCTGGACTGGACCTTGACCTGGGACCGGACCTGGACCTGGGACTGGACCTGGACCAGGTCTGCAACCGGACCTGGGACCGGACCTGGACCAGGTCTGGACCTGAGATCCATGGGACTGATTGTTCAGTCAGCTGGTTTCTCTTCAGCGTGTTAGTAAAGCAAATAGCCTAGCTTAGGATGGCTAATAGCCTAGCTTAGGATGGCTTATAGCCTAGCTTAGGATGGCTTATAGCCTAGCTTAGGATGGCTAATAGCCTAGCTTAGGATGGCTAATGATCAAACCAGGATGTAGAAGAGCAGTGGAGACAGCAGATGGAGGAAGAGCATTTTCTATGCCAGAGTTCCCTTAGTCCAAAGGAACCAGAAGAACATTTGGTTCTTTGGGCCAGAGAGCTGGTGGGATTGTTGGACTCTCTGATTGGACGGATGGCACCCAGTAGGCAAATCATTTTATTTAACTGGACTCTTTGCTCCTTTGCAGGGATCAGAGTATTATTTGGTCAGCATCTCAGACCTTCTGCCTGACAGCTGCTGCTACTGATTGGTTAGCATCTGCTAGCTTTCAGACCAGCCTCTGGATAGAGAATCATCTCCTAACATCTGGACCCCCCATCAGACCATAGTACCTGAACCAGGATGTCTGTTCATTCATGCAAACTCTGGGTTTTATGGAACTTTTGTTCAGTTGGGAGGTTTTTAAAGATCTTATGGTGAAGGTTCTACCTTTAGGATCCGGTAGCTCTCTGACCCCACAGTAAATATGCCTTTTACAACAAACAGCAGCATTGTGGACTTTAAGTAGGACATTTGGAGACGAGGCCTACAGCCCCTGTCAGGGACAACCTCCACCCAAAGTCTGCTCTGCTGGCAGGGAACCAGGAAGGACCTGATGGTTCCCATCCAGGTTCCCAGGAGTGGAATCAGTCATGTGGTCCAGTCCCCGCCGTCGGTACAGGATCCACCAGTTTTAGGCCCCTCTCGGTGCAGGGAGCATGTCTCAGCCAAGATGGCGTCCATCCGACAATGACGCTGAAAAACAACTTCACCTGTTAGCTGGTCCTTCTGTTGCAGTGATCTCTGACCAACCGGGGGCTGCGCCTCCAGAGGAACTTCCTCTCCACTAGAACCCAACCTAATAGAGTTCATCCATTTCTAGTGTGGCTGAGAACACTTTGACCCTGTAGTGGAGGTCAAACAGGCCTCTGTGGTTTTCCTCTAGTGGTCCTGCTCTGGATCGTCCAGACCTCCCCTCCCGCCCCAGAAGAACAGAACCTGTACTGCTTCTGTTTCAACATCTGAGGAGGAATCTTTACTCCATTTCTAAACGGTTCCTGCAGCCGACAGACAGTTTAGTTTCTGCTGAGCAGAGACCAGCTAGACGTTCTGTTAGAGCCGAGCAGGTCCAGATGTTGTTGCTCAGAGACGGATCCTGTGTGAGGAAAGCTGCTGCTACATGTTCTGACCTGTAACCTTTCAGCGGCGGCAGGGAAGCAGCGCCGGCGGCGGCGCGCTGAACGCCATCAACACACACAGAGCTGCAGACAGACGGAGGGGAGGTTCTGCCAGCTCTCATTACTTCCATTCTTTGCTCGCTGTTCCTCTTTGTTTCTTGCTGTCACCCGTCTGTGGGGGTGGGGTGGGGGTGGGGGGGGTGCTGTTCACCTCCCAGTTTGATGGATGTCTGAAGCTGTTAGACGGCTGTCACACACCATCATTTGTCTGCCGGCGTTTTAATGAGCGACACAGGAACCTGCCGTGGATCAAAGTGGGAGACGTTCACACACACAGCTCGTGACTGTGGGGGGGGTGGGGGGTAGAAATGTTTGTTTCCTCTCATAGAACCTGGATCGGTTGAATCTCTGAGTGTTTGTTCGTCTCTGCTTCCCTCACAGCCTCCGTCTCCTAATTGGACCTAACCGTGTGTTTTGTCCATGAAGGCAGGCACTGAGCAGCGAATCAAACACACCCTTTGAATTATTCATGGCCCTCAGAGACGCAGTTTTATCCAACAAAGTGCTTCTGTGTTCCAACAGAGCTTCTTTGAGGGCCAGTCTGCTCCATGGGACTCAGCCAAGAAGGACGAGAACCGCATGAAGAACCGATACGGAAACATCATCGCCTGTGAGTACAGACCCGCCCACATCCTGGGATCCGCCCACATTCTGGGACCCGCCCACATCCTGGGACCCGCCCACATTCTGGGACCCGCCCACATTCTGGGACCCGCCCACATTCTAGGACACGCCCACATCCTGGGACCCGCCCACACCCTGGGCCCCGCCCACATCCTGGGACCCAGGGAGTAACACCATACACAGGTCTATAGTCCCTTCATGGCGGGTTCCCTGGACGTGAGGAACAACCAGCCGATAGGTTTTAATCAGCAGCGTCTCAGTCTCGCTGAGCGTTTCCCTTCAGCAGCTTCTAATTGCAGATTATTCATTAGTTCATAGATCTTTGTTTCCCTGGAAGCTAATTAGCTTCAGGGTGACAGTGAGCTCAGCAGCTAACACTGTGCTTGTGTTGCAGACGATCACTCCCGGGTTCGTCTGCAACCTCAGGATGGAGACGGCGCCTCTGACTACATCAATGCCAACTACGTAGACGTGAGTAACCTTCATCAGCGTGGTGGCTGCTCTTCTTCCCCCTTTAAAGGGACTGAAGCTAACGTCTGATGCTGCTTCAGGACGGTTCCTCCACATCTGAACCAATTCTCTTTCTTCCCTCTCAGGGTTACCACCGACCCAATCACTACATCGCCACTCAAGGTGAGACGCTGGTCTACGTCGCGCTTTTAGCGGCTCTAAAGACACCAAAACACTCAGACTTCCTGCTTAGAAAGTAGTAACGCACTGTAACCACAGGGGGCGTCAGTGGAGCAGGGGTGGAAGCTAATCCCAGCCAATCAGTCAGTCNCAGACTTCCTGCTTAGAAAGTAGTAACGCACTGTAACCACAGGGGGCGTCAGTGGAGCAGGGGTGGAAGCTAATCCCAGCCAATCAGTCAGTCAGTCAGTCAGTCAGTCAGTCAGTCAGTCAGTCAGTCAGTCAGTCAGCCAATCAGTCAGCCAGCCAGTCAGTCAGCCAACTAGCCATTCATTCATTCAGTAATTTAGCCAGCCAGTCATTCATTAACTCAGTCAATCATTCAGTCAGTCAGTCAGTCAGTCAGTCAGTCAGTCAGTCAGTCAGTCAGTCAGTCAGCCAGTCAGTCAGTCAGTCAGTCAGTCAGTCAGTTAGTCAGTCAGCCAGTCAGTCAGTCAGCCAGTCAGTCAGTCAGTCAGTCAGCCAATCAGTCAGCCAGCCAGTCAGTCAGCCAATCAGTCAGCCAGTCAGCCAGTCAGTCAGCCAATCAGTCAGTCAATCATTCATTCAGCCAATCAGTCAGTCAGCCAATCAGTCAGTCAATCATTCAGTCAGCCATTCACTCATTCATTCAAAAATTAACGTAGCCAACCAGTCATTCATTAACTCAGTCAATCATTCAGTCAGTCAGTCAGTCAGTCAGTCAGTCAGTCAGTCAGCCAGTCAGTCAGCCAGTGTTCTGCCTGTGGGTGACTGTTTTCCCGCTGTGTGCCAGCCAGCCAGTCAGTCAGCCAGTCAGTCAGTCAGTCAGTCAGCCAGTCAGTCAGCCAGCCAGTCAGTCAGTCAGTCAGTCAGTCAGTGTTCTGCCTGTGGGTGACTGTTTTCCCGCTGTGTTCCAGGGCCCATGCAGGAGACGGAAAACAAACCTTAATTACTTCTTTCTGTCTTGTCTTTTAAAGGGCCCATGCAGGAGACGGTCTATGACTTCTGGAGGATGGTGTGGCAGGAGAACACGGCGGCCATAGTGATGGTTACCAACCTGGTGGAGGTGGGCCGGGTGAGTCATTACCCACAATGCATCTGTCCTGCTTGATGGTGAGGAAGAGGAAGCGTGCTGGGAGGAACCAACTCCCAGTAGAGCCTCGCGGTCCAGACTGAACCCGATCACACAGAACCAAATAGAACCGAACAGGACCAGACCTGATGATCGGACCCGCTCAG